AAATTTAAAGCTTTAAAAATTTCCACATGATTATCCCTCACAACACGTTCACACACTTTTCTATTCACTCACTCTTATTAAGTGGTTGCTGATTTCCGAATAAATTTTGTGTCTCCTTGTGAATAAAAGTAGTTGGAGTTGGAGACTTTGATGCAATGAACAACCACCCTCAAAGGTTCTCTTTTTAACTTCAAGTTTGTAACTTTCTTCATATTTTTTATGCCCCATAATTTGTTTTTCCTTAGAAACTTTATGATCTTTGTTAATGTTTGTTACTAGAGAGGCCTTAATTGGTATAATTAAGTTTCAGCTCAAATTTTCATTCAAGTTTGTAACTTCTGTTATGTTGTTATAACCCAGAATTTGTTTGTTTGATATGCATTTTCTTTGATTTTCATGGATCTGTTGTAGTGATCAGAAAAAAAGGGCTAATAATCCTTACTAATTCATACTCAATAGTGATGATGATTAATTGATTATGCAATATATGAAACTTCTTGAGACTGCATGTTTTGTCCTTGTTCATGGTTCTGTGACTCTGCATTTATTGTTTAATTGCTGAATTATTGCTTCTTTTTTTTCCCCCTCAGATAGATAGAGTTTGGTTGTGGAAGAAAGAGAAGCATTGGCTGGTTTCCCTTGGTGCATAAATCTACAGTTGCTGCCATGTTTCGCCGGAGCAATTCTCATCAAGATCATGAAAACAGTGAGGTTTATGCCGAATCCAAGGTACTAATTTAAGAAAAAAGTGACAGTTATTTTGAAACGGATGTAGATGTAGTACTTCTTTTGTTTAATAACTTGTTAAGAATGTAGTAAAAAGTGACAGTGAGAGATAATCTTAACAAAATGCACAATCACCATTTGAGTAAGCATTTTAAGGTTTTGAACTTTTGATTGTGAGTATTGGAATTCTAAAAATAGGTTAAAGAGCTAAGGGGAGCAATTGGACCGTTATCCGGGCGCAGCTTGAAGTACTGCACTGATGCTTGTTTAAGAAGATATTTGGAAGCTCGGAATTGGAATGTAGAGAAGTCCAAGAAGATGTTGGAGGATACACTAAATTGGAGATCTACCTATAAGCCTGAGGAAATTTGCTGGGTAAGATTTCGAGTTCGTCTACACTTGTGATAAAATTAGACCTCAATAACTTCGTTCAAGAGAAATTGCACTTAAAGAATTTGTTAGAATTATATGAATGCACAGAGTTTTCCCTTTTAGTGCATTAGTATGGTGACTATGGTATGAAATACTGTTAATGCAAATGTCATTTGACAGCATGAGGTTGCGGTGGAAGGCGAGACAGGGAAACTGTATAGAGCAAGTTTTCATGACAGGCAAGGAAGGACTGTTCTTATCTTGAGACCTGGAATGCAGGTACTATAATTTCGAATTTTAAGATATTTGGCTTGGAATTTTAAGGACTGGTTTATAGTTTTAGTAAAAAAATGTTTAAAAGTAAGTGAAATTAGTCCCTACTGTCATCTAAAGTACCAATCAACTTCACATTGATGGTTCGAAACATAAAATATTTGTCTCCGAGTTGATTTGTATTCGAGAAGATGCTAGAGACTAATTTCACTTTTAGAACTTTTAGGCTGTGTTTGGTAGTAGAGAGACTGGGAATGAGACTAAGAACTGTGACTCAGTATTGTGTTTCTGTTCCAAAATTACAGTATTTTTAGTACCTTCGGAAAGTGGAGACTGATGGACTGAAATTTATGGGGACAAAGATTAAAATTTTAATAACTTTTTTTATTCAAATATTCTCGTTCAACATTAAAGTTGCTAATACTAACTTTTGTACTTATTTCTCTTTTAATAAATTTTAAACCAAACACAATAACAAACTTAATTCAGTCCCAATCTCTGTCTCTCTTTTAAATGCAGCCTTAGGGACTAGAACCAATTTTTCATTTAACTCTTTACCTTAACTATGATTTGCCTAAGCTATTGATGGAGTTATTGAAATTGGTTATATTTTGATGTGGTTGAAGAACACCAAATCAATGGAGAATCAGCTGAAGCACTTGGTTTATATTTTGGAAAATGCAATGCTTAACCTTCCACCAGGTCAAGAACAAATGGCATGGTTGATAGATTTCACTGGCTGGTCATTGACCAATAGTGTTCCGGTTAAGTTGGCCAGAGACACCATTAACACTCTGCAGAATCATTATCCTGAGAGGCTCGCCATTGCGTTTCTTTACAATCCCCCAAGAATTTTTGAAGCTTTTTGGAAGGTTAGCTTGTAATCTAGAAACATGCTACAATTATATTAGGTAGGATCGATTACATGGATCTCGTCTGTGTTATACGATGTTACACGCGAGATTTCGATTAGGTTATATGACGTTCGGTATTCTTGATTTTGTAAAATGTTACCCTAATCTTCCCTTGTTATGAATAAATGTTGAAATTAGACCTCAAAATATAGGTAGAATAGAGCATCACATTAGTCTTTTAGAAATTTTCACTTTTCAGTATCAATTTGTGTGTTTATGCAGATAGTGAAGTACTTCTTGGATACAAAGACATTTGAGAAAGTGAAGTTTGTGTATCCCAAAAACGAAGACAGTGTGGAACTCATGAAGTCTTATTTTGATGATGAGAATCTTCCAAAAGAATTAGGAGGTAAAAGCACAATGCAATATAACCATGAAGAATTCTCAAGATTGATGGTTCAAGATGATTTGAAATCTGCAGCATTTTGGGGTTCTGAAGCACAAGTAGCTCCAAATCCAGATTGCAATGGAGCCACATCAATTTGAGGCACTTAACCTCTTTGTGAAGAGAGAGATATATATATGAAAAATTAGCACCTAAGAAATATTAGGATTAAGCATGGCAATGTTGCTTGTTAAAAAGTTCTTATTCAACTATATTAAAAAATTATAATTTCTAAACAATTAAGTAGATACATATGAATTAATTA